TGTTAAATGATATATATCCATCATTACAGTATCATTACAGTGATAGCATACATTACTTCACTACTCTAAAAATCTTTTGGCTTCACTTACTCATCTTGCCCTTAACTTTTACTGAACTTTTACTATCTCTATAATTTTGTCTCTTTCAGAACGTTATATAGTTGGAATTACACAGTTTGTTGCCTTTTCAGATTGGTTCTTTTACTTAGCAGTGTGAATTAAATTTCCTTCATAACTTCTCATGGCTTGATAATTTCTCTCTTTTTGTTTTCTTTTGGTTTTGTTCTAAAAGTTTTTTTTTTATGAAACTATCACACACTTTAATTGTCCATGAAAATAATAATATAAAGATAGTGATCACAGGACTTTTATACCAGAATCATTTTCACCTGATAAGATAAATTATCTTCTGTATGTGAAATTCTATCCTCACATTGGTTCATTCTGCTGCGCAGACTTTCGATGGAGTTTTTAATCTCTTGGAAATCTGTTTGTATGTGTTTTATGGATTCCATTTGTTTCCCATGTTGGGATTCCATCATGTTCCTCAGATCCTCTATTTTTTTATGTGTGTCCTCTCTAGATTTATTAATCATGTCTTGCACCATCAGCAAAATCTTTGCTGTTATCTGAGTAATTATTTCTGATTTCATTTTTCCCAGACCCCCTTTGGTCCCAGTTCAGAGAGTCCAGGTGGTTGATCATCAGAGTGTTCCATCTCATTTCCCTTTGGGGTTGCTGTAGGTGATCTGGAAGTCTGTTTTTGTCTTCTAAGTTACTTCTTAGAAGTTGTCAAATTTATTTCAAAAAAGATTTTTGTAATATGCTTTCTATATCCTTTTAAATTCTGTAAAATCTGTGGTAATGTTTCCTAGATCTTAATATTGTAATTTTAAAAACGTATTATTGATATTGTGTAACAGGAAGAAAAGGTCTAAAAGAGCAGGGGAATTGGGAGGGGTAGGGGAAGGGAAAAAAGGGAAAGGAAAAAATATGAGAAGAGGAAAAAAATGGAAACAAGGTCTTTGCAAATAGGGAAGGGTGGAGGGGGTGAAGGGAGGGCAAGGGAAGGGGAAAAAAAATAAGAACCAAGAGACTCCTGTAATGGTACAAGATCCCAATGATGAATGTAACTGTATTTTATACCTAAAATGTATGAATAAAGTTAATGAGGGGAAAAAAAGATAAATTATTATAACTTTTTAATTAATTGTGGCTTATCCTTAAAATGAAAACCTGTCAATCTTTTTTTTTTTTTTTTTGGTACCAGGGATCGAACTGGGGACCTTGTGCTTGCGAGGGAGGCACCGGAACCACTGAGCTAAATCCCCGGCCCAAACCTGTCAATCTTGATACATTCCATACCAGATACTTTCTTGGATCAGGTGAACAAAATGCTTCAAGAGCCAACATATAACCACTTAAGTTCATTTGCCATATCATCTCTCCTATGCAATCTCAGAACCCAGGTTCCTGACCTTTCAAATTAACCTGAATTGTCCTGGCCTAAGATAATAATTCTCTCTCCATTTTAAAAAAGTAAAATTTTTTTCAAATAAACTATCATGTAGCTCTTGTTTTAGTTTATTACCTGTTTAGGAATTACAATACATCACTTTTGAGTCAGTTACTTTGTAATAGCTTATCTGTAGTAGGGAGTCAGGCAGATATAGTATTGTTTAAAAAAAAAGAACATTACATTCTTCGTTGAAAGCCACATAAATAAATGGTGAATTATCATTGCATAGTATTCTTAAAATATAATTGATATGTATGTTATTATCTGATGGAAATAAAAACCTTATGTTTAGTGAAAAGAAAGAACATTTAAAGTTATTTCATATTTAGGACTTTGGATTTGTTCTTTTTGTAAGATAGTAAATTTCCCTCAACTTCTGAATCCACACCTGAATTAATTAAAATCAATGCCTACATAATAGAATTCAAATATTTTTTCTTATATGTTTGCTGCTGTTAATATGTCAATATAGTGATGCAGTTAAAACATCTTTTAGGGCGGGGATTTAGCTTAGTGGTTCTGGCCCCTGCCTCACATGCACAAGGTCCCGAGTTTGATCCCCGGTACCAAAACAAAAACATTATCTTTTAGAAAAAAAAGAATCTCTTCCTCGAAAAGAAGTATTCTCCCTGTTTTTCATTTTTGAAGGTATACCATGTATTTTTTAATTGATGGATTGATGATATTCTATTAATTTCATAGTAAGGCAGAAATGATTTAATCATTGAGGTCTTTGTTAGAAATAAGAAAAATGTTTAAAAAAAATGAAAACCGGAAAATATAGCCTTCTTGACCAATAATTAGTTTCTACAGGAAATATTCTGTAAGAATATTTAAAAATTCTAGTGATTATGGGCTGTAGTCATTGAAATGTTTTGTCACAATTTATAACCTAGTACACATGACTTGTTTTCCAAAATAAATTTAATAACATTCTATGATTATAGTAACGGAGATAATTCAGATGGACATATCTGTACTTTTGTGTAAGTATGTGTCTACGTATGTCCATGTAGACACAGCCACACATCTTTCACTCTAAAAAATGAAAAAGTTATACCTCTTGAAACATGATGAAGTGAAAAATACAGTGTTATGGCTTGAATCTAGATGTTCCTGCAAAGCCTCACGTGCTCATAGGTGAGACTTTTCAGAGGTGGCTAGATCTAGTGTGTGGGAATATAGATTAGGGGTGTGTGATAACTTAATTGGTTTAACACAGTTCTGCATGCGATAATGAGAAGTTCCACCCTAGGTATGGGTGGCACCAACATATAGGCTTGCAGCCTGGATGTAATAAAAGGGAAAGGAAATTATATCTCTAATTTTTTTTATTGGTATGAAGTTTACAAGTCCCAAATAAAATTTATCCTCATGAGACAACAAGGGCATCCTCCCTTGAGAAGTGACCATCTCAGTCCTGGGCAATCATGCCTGGGGTGATTTGACTGCACTATGTTGGGATAGGTGGGGAGAGGTTGTGCTTTGAAGGCTTATTCTTTACAAGGTGTTTGTGAGTGCCCAAGGGGAGAATCTGTGTCTTATCTATGGAATGACGGCCTTGAACCCATTAGGTGTCCTGGGCGGTGACCCCACTTTTTTGTTTGTTTATTTTCCTTGAAGTACTGGTAATTGAACCCAGGGCATTTACACTGAGCTACATACCCACCCTTTTAAAAAATATTTTATTTTGAGATTGACTTTCACTAAGTCACTAAATTTTCCAGGCTGGGCTCAAGCTTGTGATCCTCGTGCTTCAGCCTCCCAGAGTGCTGGCATCATAGATGGTATGCCACCTCATCTGGCTGTCACCCCATGTTAAAAACAAACACACAGCAAATTTAATTCCAAGATTTAATTGTTTTTTATTAGCAATTCATGAATCCACTGAGGCTGAGCAGATGTTGGCTTTAGTCACAGAAAAGGGCTGAAGAAAACAGAAATAAGGAATAAAGACTGGATTGCTCCCTTCAAAGTTATTTTATATACAGTGAAAACAGAGAGGACTTTCTGATTGCCATTTATGTAAATGGGGCCTCTTCTGATTGCTGTGAATCTAATTTTTTGAAAATTGGCCCATTTTAAAGTTCAGCTGGATTATGTAGCACTTAGCATAAGTGACTCCACTGTGGTTTGGTCTGGTCTGTTGGGGTTTGGTATAGGAGCTCAGACCAAAGCAAGGGCCTCTTGTAAATTCTGTTTAAACCTCTGATGTGAATTTTGTTATTTTGATTAACAAATTTGTTCACTTGGTCCTCTGAATTCAGACACAGGAGTAAATTCTGAAGTATATTCTTTCACTTACTATTCAGAATATCTTAACTTTCTTCATGAATTGTCCACATCCAGCTGCTGACCTTGATCCCATCCAACGTTGTTGGAAAGGATTTTTCTGAGTTGTAGTGGAGATACAGTGGCTTACAACTCTGAGAAAGGAAACTAAGCTCAGAGAGCAGCAGTAACTCTGTGCTCCCTCAGCAACCTGACACAGGGCAGAAACTTGGGCTTTGCCCTGTTCTTCCCCACCCAGCCTTCAGAGTCCTTGCAAATGTTCTCTTGCCCCACATCCTAGTGCCCCCCCATTGACTCAGCTGAAATACCTGCAAGGAGATTCAGTCACAGGCAATTTAGGAAAAGAATGCTTCTGTTTTGGCTTTTTGCTCTGCATTCTAGATAATAAACACCTCTCTGGTAATCCTTCCTTCAGGACTCTTCAGTGTTGAGCATGATGGCATCTGGAAGTCCAGCAGAGTACAGTAGGGCTCAGGATGGGTAAGCTGAACTTTGGGATGCAGACCCCCTTACACAAGCTGGCTTTCTGTCTATGGACACCCATAAGAACTTACACCAAAGTCTGTTATTTTGTTAAGTGTCTATTCTGTGACTAACACCTGGGTCAGGTCATTGCAAACATTTTTATGCTTGCTGAATTGCATCTCTGGTGACAAAACCAGCCTAGATCCCTAACTTTGTAAGCCTATGAGCCAGTGATGGTGAATCTGTGACATTAGTGCTGCAGCAGCAAGCTGTTTATATCATTAAAAGCTCTAAAAGTTTCACCATCGCTGACAGTGTGAGCCCCTACTCAGCCATGTCTGAATCTTTATAAAACCCAAAAGGAATGTATTTGGTTTTTTTGTTCAGAAGTCTCAAAGAGAGGACTCCATGTAATACAATCCAAGCAGTGTTTAATCCCAGGGAAAAGTTGATCTCATTCAGAGATATAAAGTTTCTGCCTCGACTGCTAGGAAGCTTCAGTCTAAACTTAGGCTGTGTGTGTGTGTGTGTGTGTGTGTGTGTGTGTGTCTGTGTGTGTGTGTGTTAAAACTCAGGACCTCACACATACTAGACTGAGCTACATCTCCAGCTTTTTTAAATTTTGAAACAGGGTCTTGCTAAGTTGCCCAGGATGGTCTCATACTTGCAGCCTTCCTGCCTCAACCTCCTGAGTAACTGGAATCACAAACATGCAGCACAAAGCTTGGCTCAAGTGCTTTTTATTTCATGGATCTGTTAAAACAATAGCCCCTCTTGCTAAACTATATACAAGCTCTTTATTTTGTACTCTAACTCTCCTGCTTATTTTGCAATACAATATTATAAACTAGTTGCCTCAAGTCCGAAGGTGGTAATGCACATATTTAAGTAAAAGACATAACAACTGGAAGCAGAAAGGATTTTCATTATTGCACATGTAATCAAAAGTACATATGATGTGAGAGTACATTAGAAAATATAAATGCTTTCGAACTTGACTTGAATAACACTCTACTAAGAAAGAAATACTGTTTATGAAGATTTTTGTGTCCACCAACTCCACATTAGAGCCCCTAATTTATGTCACAAAAGCAAGGTGGCAGGGGATCTGCATACATTTTACATTCATCACAAGACTGAAGGATGAGAAAAGACTCAGTGGCAGCAGTTTCAGCCGGGATGACCCTATCCTTGGTGTTGTTGGCTGAGTTAGCCTCAGGATCAGGTTCTTTTGCAGCTCTTAAGAAAAGACATACACAAATCAGAGACTTAAAAGTTTTCTTTTCAGTGCATTTCTTTTTTCTTTTTTTGCGGTACCAGGGACTGAACTCAGTACCTTGCACTTGCAAGGCAGGCGCAATGCCACTGAGCTAAATCCCCGGGCTTCAGTGTATTTCTTACAATTGCTAGGGCTCTCTGGGAAGTTCAGTGCTGCAGCAACACACGAGACACCAGCCCTGGATTAAAGCTCTCTGTCCTGTTGCCAAGTTCCTTTCTTATCCCTTTCTCTCTTACAACTGCTGTATATGTACTCTGGTTACATTAAAAAAAAAAAGGGAATGGATTACAAGTACGGATCATCCATCCAGTTGCTGCAGGAATGAGGGGGAAAGGGCTCTACTATATAATTCCCTAGAATGGGGACATCACTGAGGCTACAGCTAGTCTCTCTCATATTTAAAGATCCTCTCCCCAAACTATAATCTCTTGCCTTAACCTACTCCCGCTTGTAAGCTGTCTTCTATAGGGCCTTGGTCCTAAAGGCCCACCTCACTGTCCCCGAGGCCACGGGCAATGAATGAGGGAACATGCTTGGGAGCTCCTGAACTGGGTGAGAGAAGGTCAGTGTGGCCTGTCCCCTGACTCACTCCCACAGGATCCCCTGGGATTGTCCCATCTCCAGTGCATGGGACTAGGGGAGGTTCTGGCAAGGGACTAATAAACATCTGATGGGAAACCCAGGAGATCAAGTGACACGGATGTGGTGCTGACACACACAGCCTCAAGGCTGAGAATGTTCTACTTTTCAGCTAACCCCAATCCAGAAGGAAGATTCTGTACTCGCCTGCCTTTGCTTTTCCTGTACCATCTGCCTGTGGCTCTTGACCTTACCCATGGTGTAGCCCCAGCCACAAGGAATAACCCAGTTCAAGCAGAGCACCAGGTGTCCCACTTGAGGGCGAACTGTTCACTCCTACCTGCATGACTCACTTTAGCGCTTTGGAGACATAGAAGAAAATACTGGTGACAATAGCTGTCAGAAAAACTGCAGCAATCACTAAGCTGAAGCCCATGCTGATTATGATCTTTGTACTGAGATCAGACATCTTTTACACCTAGGCAGAGAAATGCAGGCAGGTAGTGAAGGTGGCTTCTCCCAACCTGATAACCCTTCTCCACAACCATGAGGAGAGCCTTTTGTTTCCAGGCCCTAAGCTGGCCTGGAATAAGTAAAGAGGTTTATTTCTGTATGAAAACGACTGATACAAAATCCACAGAGAAGACCAGGACATTGGAAAGAATCTTTACTTTTCACAGGCAGTGATCTATGCTTAGGGCTTGCACTGGAGCTAGTGGTTTTACTCCTCCACCTGTGCCTCTTAAACTATGTCCATCTCAGACTCAGAATGACCTGTAACTGTACAGTAGGTTTAAAGATACTTTATGGGAATAAGACTTTTTTCGACATGTTACTCTTTGACAATCCCGAGAATGCAAACCTTTGTTAAGTGTTAAGTGTTTTAGGGGAAAAAGTTTTCAGTTCCCCCACTGAAAACTGGATCAGGCCATTTCAGGGCTAAGGGTATTCTGGAAGCTTCCAGCCAACCCCTTGTCCTGACTGAGATAGGAAGTGGTTTGCACAGGCCAGAAACCAGCTTCTTCAGGAGCCGCTTGTCCCTCATTCTGTCTTCCTGTAGACCACGGGTCTTCCTCCTAAACACATCTTCCCAGAAAAGCAAATTTGTCTGGAATAAGCAATTTACTCAATCTCACACACTGAAATTGAGGAGCAGTGAACCAGGAGAGAATAAACTGTCTGCCAAGTACACTTAACTACTGTTTAAACCATCTAAAGCTGGATTAAGAACTGTAGAAAGAGAGGGCCGGGGATTTAGCTCAGTGGTTCTGCTGCCTGCCCCACAAGTGCAAGGACCCGAGTTTGATCCCCAGTACAAAAAAAAAAAAAAAAAAAGAACTGTGGAAAGAAAAAAAAACTTTTAGAGTACTGGATATTTTGTCAGGTATTTCTCAAACCTGTAATCTGAGAAAGAAGTATCCTATCTTCTCTGTTAGGAGTAATTACGGTCCTCGATTAAAGAGTTTGTGTTTGGAAGGGCAGTGTTCTGCCAGAGTTAGAATCTGCGCGCTCCAGCACTGATGACACAGGCTGTTATACCAGCTCCCTTCACAGAATTCTGAATTTTGTTCCATGTGCAGGTATGTTTGAATTCTCACGTAATATACTTTTCTTTTTTTTGGAGACAGGGTCTTCCTATGTATTTTGGCTGGCCCTGAATTCACTATGTAGCCCAGACTGGCTTCAAACCTGTGGCGGTCCTCCTGCTGTAATGCTTCAATTATACAATGAAATAATATGGAGCCATTTACTAGGCTTCAAGCACACATTCACTGAGATTGGCAGAGTTTCATACTTTATAGCTAAAAGAGGTACAGAAATAAAAGTTAAAGAAGATACCTGATTTGGTCAGGTTTGTATGATTTGAAGGAAATTCAGCCAATGGATTTACCATAGTACAGCTGACTTAGTAAAATTAAGTGGGAGATTTCAGGTGCAAACAAGATGGTGTGGGCTTGTTTTTCCCGTGGAAAAACATGTCTGGTTAAGGCGAACTTTGTTCATAAATGAACAAACATTACATAAGTCAGTTCTCATGTTACAGAAGTCAATTCACAATCTATTAACAGCATAAAACAACCCTTTCATAAAAATAAATATCTTAAATATTAGGTGAAAATACTTCTATTTATTCTAGACAGATAGCTTCCAGAGTGGGTGCATTTATTTTTACCTGCAAATATGTCACCCTTCAACACATATATACAATAGTACAAAAATCAAGTCTGTCAGAAAGAAATGCAATTTCCTTCGTTTGTATGCTTTAATCATTCAATGCAGATTCTTAGCATTTCACTTTTTTTTTTTGGTACTGGGGATCGAAGTCAGGACCTTGCACTTGGGAGGCAGGCGCGGTGCCACTGAGCTAAATCCCCAGCCCTAGCATTTCACATTTGATATCTACCAGGAAAGGCTTGGAAAGAAGGCCCTGTGTAAGGCCAGAAAAGGAGACCTCCTTACATGTTCCGGGTTTTTGAGGTAAAACAAGATGACTTCTCCCATTTTACATCAAACACTAAATCCAAAATAATAATCCTAACAAAGAATGGGCCAATTCTGGTTTGGTTTTCCTATCTACTGCAACAATGTGATGGAACATAAACTTAATGGTCCAAATATGAAATAATCATATCTATATTAAAAATCTGAAATAAACAATATAAAATATAAATTGGTGGTCTAAAAATAAAGCTTCCAGAAGCAACAATTATAAAAAATACCGAATATTCTAAGGATTCTCTTTATACCCTAAAACTATGAAATAAAGTCTTTGTATAAATTAAAGCAGTACTTAAACAATACAGTAAAAACTGATGAACAGTATCAGAAGTCCTTAAACATTTTATGTACTTAATATAAACTATGTAAATCTGTAAAAGCAAAAACTATTCCACACAAAAACAACTTACGAGTGTAAACATGTTTACTCTTAGTGTACAGTCCTGGATTTACAACAAGGACAGTCAAAATGAACAGAGGTCACTTTATGTAAAACAATGATCCTTCAAAAGATATTACTTGCTTTTCATAAACACTTTTGGGTTTTAGCTTTGTAATAAATATATAATGTTTATAAGACACTGCATATGTTGAGACCCTTCTCCATTTGAAGCTCTTCTCCAGAGTTATAATGCATTAGAAGTGTCCCAGCGGGTGGGAAGTTGTGAGTTTTGTAGCAAGTCCATTGACAAAGCAATCTTATAATTTATGTGCACCTGAAGTTTATATATCTGGTGGTCATGCAGGCCATAAGTTTCTTTTCCATCAGGTCCACATCTTTGGAAAGAAATCTTTCCCAAGCAGGAGCAAATAGGCTGTTCTTCCATTCTAATAATGAAATTAAAAAATATATCAAATTTCCTCAATATTATAATAAAAAGCTGTGCAACAAGGAGCCAACATGTATTGCTAAAATTTATCTCCATAACTGTACTCTGTCTCCTTATGACACATTTCTAGGTTCAAAACTACATATTTAAGAGGTGGCCAGAGCCCTGCCCAATACACTCTTTTTTTTTTTTTTTAGTATAACATTGAGGTGGGACATTAAACTGAAGATGAACCCTTCAAGACGTTCTGATTTTGAGTGCCAAATAAAAACTGACTTGTTCAGTTTCTTTTAGGGTAATGTTTTATTTTTATTTTTTTCAAGAAACTCTACGATTTGAAGTTTTTCTTTCTTTCATACAAACAGTTTACTAAGTCCTGAAAGGTTCTTCCTAATCTAAAAGGAAAATGCTTTAAGAATTTAACTGGGGTGGGAAAATTACAGATTTAAAAAGAAAGAGAAACGTATCACTTTCTAAAAGTTCACATTGCACTTTGGGACAATGATTGTCAGAGCGTGGTGCAAAGACCAGTATGAGGGTCGGGGATTTAGCTCAGTGGTGCCACCACCTGCCTTGCAAGCACAAGGTCCTGAGTTTGATCCCCAGTACCACACAAAAAAAAAACAACGAAAAAAAAGACCAGTATGAGACCCTTTTAGGGGCTCCATGAGGTCAACATATTTCTATAGTAACACTCAAATGTTATTTGCCATTTTCACCTTCATTTTGTCCTGAACATTCAGTGGTATTTTCCAGAGGCTATATAACCTGTCAGTCATAGATCTGATGAGTAATAGAATTTCCTGAGGTTATAACTATCTTTTAGAGATTAACTGAGTTTGTTCTGAATACTTCTACTGTGTTCTTAAAAAGCTGTAATGGATTATATGGTTGCAATGCAGAAGCAGACATTAGAAAGTGACTATAGTCTGCGGCCATACCACCCTGAACGCGCCCGATCTCGTCTGATCTCGGAAGCTAAGCAGGGTCGGGCCTGGTTAGTACTTGGATGGGAGAAAGTGACTATAAATTTATTCAAACTGAAAATAATGCATTTGCCTCACATTGTCTTTAATAAAAGGTACCATTTATGTCTGTATGAAAGTTATTATTACTATTTTTAATAAATATTTTACGTAGTCTACATAAACAAATCATCTTTGAATTCCTCAATCATTTTTAAGATTACAAAGAAATCCCAAGATGCAGAAATTTAAGAACTACCATTCCAGGAAAAGACAAGCTGGGTAATAATTTAAGAAAATATTTGTTTTTGAAGTATGAATTATAGATTCTCAAAAAGATACAAAAACAGAGTGGAGAGTTCCTGTGTACTCTTCACTAATGGTCTTAATGGTTACATCTTATGTAACAGTGGCACAACATCATAACCAGGAGATGGACATTGGTATAATGTACACATAAAGTTGTCCTCCTTATCTGGGGGAATATGAAATATATGTTCCATGAACCCCAGTGGATCCTTGAAACCTCAGATACAATGAACCATACAGTAACAAACCCTATATATACTAATTTTTTCCTATAATACATATCTATGATGTTTAATTTATAAATTAGGCAAGTAAGAGATTTAAGACAATAATAATAAAATCAAACATTATAACAATATACTATAATGAAAATTGTGAATGTGCTCTCTTCCAAAGTATCTTATTGTACTGTAGATCTTACTGAGCTCAGCATGATTCAATTTTTCCTTTCCTTAAGTCAAGAGCTTTCATCTTTTCACTTAAAGGAAGCACTTAACGGCTTTACTTTGGCATGTCCAAGCTGCTAGCATCACTAGTCTTATGCTTAGGAGCCATAATTAAGTAAAATAAGGGTTATTTGAATATAACCACTGTGATTCTGAGATAGTTTGTCTTAAGTTACTTTTCCCACTGCTGAGACAAAATACCTGACACCTACAAGTTAAAGGAAGAAAGGTTTATTTTGGTTCATAGTTTATATAGAGAGGTTTCAGTCCATAGTAGGCTGACTCCAAGGTAGGGAGGCAGAGAATAAGGGCATCACAGAGGAGAAACAGTCCATGGTAGAGCAGGCAGGAGGCAGTGAAGCAACAGTTAACAGGCCCACCTTCTTTCTGTTCTTTTATAGTCCATCCAGGCTCCAAGCATATTGGCTGATACCTCCCACACCCAAGGTGGGGCTTCCATTATCCACACCCTTAATCCACATTCACACACCCTAATCCAGCCATTTTTGAAACTCTACCTACTGAAGCTTTAGGGAAAGATCTAGATACAAGCCATAACAAAGTCCATCTGATAACTTCTTGTAACTGAGAGGGACTGATGGATGGGTAGAGGATACACTGTGGCTATGCTGGACAAACACATGATTTCTGTCCTGGGCAAAAAAATAGAGGGATGGTATGAGATTTCACCATGCTGTTCAGAATGGAACACAATTGAAAACTTGTGAATTTTTTACTTCTGAAATTTTTCATATAGTTTATACTGCAGTTGACTGTAGGTAACAAAGCACAAAAAGTAATACAGACCTAAGGCCATATTTTCATGTGTAGATTTATGTAACTACCATACAACCATAATGAACTATTCCCTCACCACAAACATCTGCCTTGTACTCTACCTTTATAATCACTCCACCCCTTTTTACCATATTACCCTTAATCCTTAGCAACCACAAGTTTGTTCTCCAACCCTACATTTTCAGTATTTTGAGAATGTTATATAAATTGAATCATACAGTATATTGTTTTTTGAGTTTTTACCCCAAGCTGTTGCATGAATCAATGGTTCACTCTTTTTCTTTAAATGAGTAGAATTCCACAGTATGGATGTATCACTGTTTGTTTATTTAACCATTCAGCTAACATTGGACATTTGGGTTCTTTCCAGTTACTGGTTATTACAAACATATACAGATTTTTGTGTGGATATAGATTTTCATTTCTCTGAAATAAATACCCACTGGTATGATTGCTGGTTTACATGGTATATGTCTAGTTTTTTAAGAAACAGGCACACTGTTTTACAGATTGGCTGTATATTTTACATTCTTACTAACAACGTGTGAGAGGTCTAGTTTCTCAGCTTCTCTGCCAGAATTAGACGTTTTTTCAGATTTATCTTGCACAACTTGTGTGTTGAGGAAGAGTACACAGACATTTAAATTTGTACATGATTCTCAACATATGTATCAAAAATTTTAAATGTCATGTATTGGGATTTTCTCAATGATTTTCTAGCTTAAAATTTGGCGGTAAAATTTCCTTAAGGGAATATAAGCAGTTGTAAAAACTGGTTATGCACATGCATTAGAATGAATCTAGACCCACATCTATCACCATGCACCAAAATGAAATAAAAATGGATCAAAGACATAAGTATTAAAACAAAAACAATCTGCTGGAAGAAAAAAATAGGTAAAACTCTTGAAGACATAGGCACAGGAAAGGACTTTCTAAACAGAACTCCAATTGCACAAGAAATAGTAGCTAGAATCAACAAAGAGGACTGTATCAAATTAAAAAGCTTCTACCCAGCAAAGGAAACAATTAATCAAGTGAAGAGACAACCTACTGAATGGGAACATTTTTTTTGTTAGCTACTCCTCTGATAGGAGAGTAATATCTAGAATTTACAAAGAACTGAAGACACTCAGATCCCTAGAATAAGATCCAATCAAAAAATGGGCAGCTGAAATGAACACACACTTCTCAGAAGTACAAATGGTCAATAAAAGGAACTCTTCTACCTTTTTGGTGGGAATGTAAACTAGTACAAACTAGTATGGAGATTTCTCAAAGAACTAAAATTAGAAATTCTATTTCACATAGCTATTCGCCTTCTAGGTATGTCCTCAAAAGAGCTAAAGACATTTTATTACAGTGATACATGCATACCAATTTTTTATTTTTTATTTTTGGTACCAGGGAACAAACTCGGGACCTTGCACTTGGGAGGCAGGCAGTGGCACCACTGAGCTAAATCCCCGGCCCCATGCATACCAATGTTTATAGCAGCACAATTCATAACAGCTAAATCTTGAAAGTAGCTTGTATGTCCATCAACAGACAAATGGATAAAGAAAATGTGGTATCTATACACAATGGAATACTACTCAGCTGTAAAAAGATAGATTTGAGATATTTGTAGGAAAATGGAGACACCTGGAAAATATGTTAAGTGAAAAAAATCCGACACAAATTTAAATACTGTATTATCTCTCATTTGATTAAGGGAAAGTACAAATAAAGAGCAAAATAAAGAACTGACAGAAGGAAACAGTGAGACAGATCTTCTGCAAATAGGCAGGGGACCAGGAAACTGAAGGCAAAGTAGAGCAAGGCCAGAGAGGAAAGGGAAGAAGCTCTAAGATGTGTCATGTACATGTACCAAATACCCGCAATGAATGCAATCATTACATGTTGTAAACATGAACTAAAAATAATAACGTTAATATGGAAAATTGGGAAAGGATTTTTAGATAAAGAGGGAAGGAGGTGGGTGGGGAGGGGAAGGTCATTAAAAAAGAATCAAGAGTTGGGCCAGGGATTTAGCTCAGTGGCACTGTGTCTGCCTTGCAAGTGCAAGGTCCTGAGTTCGATCCCCAGTACCAGGGGGAAAAAAAAAAGAATCAAGATGTGTTATGTACATGTACCTACTCCCCAAGATGAATGTAAACTTCATGTATGGCAAGCATGTACTAGTAAAATAAAATTTAAAAAATAAAGTCATAATTACAAAAAAATTCCAGTTAAATCAATAAACGTACAAAGAAAAAATTAAAGTCATGCCCATGTGGTATTTAATGAAATCCTAAATACAATTCACTTAGAATTTAGAGCTATAAGAGAATGTCAGGATAATCTAACCTAGCTGGTTGTTTACACATAAAGAAGGCAAATTCAGAGTTGACCATCTACCTTCTTCAAAGGATACTCAGTATACCAAGTCCACCTTGGAACCTAGTTCTTCTGTCTTCTATCCCAGTAGTTTTTCCATTGCTAACTATCCTGTAAAAGGCCATCATTGTGAAATTTTTAGTGGTATCTGGAAATAAATCATTTCAACTTACCTGCTGCTGAAATCTAACTATATTCATCAGTTGCTGAGCTCCAGCTGGTAACTTTGATCCATGCCCTCCATCACTGTTTGGATCTTGTCAAGGTCTAGCTTTGATCCTAGAGCAGGAAAACTTGGTGAAGAATTTGTTTCACATCGCTTCTCAGCCTTTTGGCTGAGATCGAGTGAAGAATTTGTCTCACATGTGCCACGACTTTGCTGATAACACACACTGCTTTTCACCACAGGGCAGCAACTATTATAAAACAAAAATCCTGGGAACTTGTAACGGCATTAAAAAAAATCATCATTTATATCTCTTCTTGGTATTACCTAAACAAGAGTGAAGTATTCAAGAATCTAAAAATTAAATTCCTGTATATTTTAATATTTCCTTTAGAACAGAAAAAGTTTTAATTTATCACTAGGCTCAGACCAACTATTTTAAAAAGTCCCTTCCAAACTAAAGGATTCCACATAATATAAAAGGGGAGAATTACAGAAAGTTACACTTAATTTGAGGAATTAAATCATGACAATTTAGCTTGCCAGATAATATCTGATATAAAATAAAGCTGTCCTGAAGTCTATGTAAACTGTTTACTGAAACACTAACAAAATTCAGTCATTTGAAATTTAAAATTGTAAGAGAATTTCAAGATGATCCAATACAGCTTGTTGGTTTATATGTAAAAACTGAGTTCAGGGGGGATTTTCTAACTTGTCAAGGAATACTCAATTAGTAAAAGCCAAGCGTGAGGCCTAGCTCATCTGGCTTGTATCTTAGTAGTAAAGTTTTATGCTATCCATGTTTTTGAACCAAAAGGCATTTGTGTTTAGTACATACAACACAATAGCAAAATGAAAGGGAACAGGCTTTGGTTCAGATACACTTGGGTTAAAACTCTGCTACTTAATAACCTGTGTAACCTTGGGCAAGTGCTGGACCTGAACTAATAATAAAATTGGAATGAGTAACAGTAATGACTTCACATGGTGGTTGGAAAGTTTCTTAGTGAACAACTTTTCATGTTCACTGAAAATTAAAAAGATTTTTAAAATTTTATCACTTTTAATAGTTACATCTAAAAATAAGTATTTTCAGGATAATATCCTGAGATTCTGTTTTCCTGATGAGCATAGGGACCTGGGACTCCTGACCGCACTGCACTGCCTGGAAGGCATCTCAGCATCCACTTATTAGCTACATGTGAGAACTGGATAAGGTAACATAGGTACAGTCATCTAGCACAGCATATTTTAAAGCTAAAGTAATAGTTATTATTTCCAACACGCAGAGGATACAAAACAGTTCAGATGTGGTGTTATATTAAAAAAAATTGGGGCAGAATCTCTGCAAGACAACAGGAAAAAAACCATAATTTTAATTTTATGACAGGTCAAGAAGCTCATAGTAGGCTGCTGTGGCAGAGTCAGATTACTACACCATTTGGAATGGGCTTCCCAGAAGAAAATGTGTTCAGTGTTCCAGAAATAAGTAAATTTATTTATTTATTTATTGGTACCGGGGATCAAACTCTGGTCCTTGCGTTTTCAAGGAAGGAGGTGGATATTTATTTATTTTTCAGACAAGGTCTCACTATGTAGTTTAGGCTCACCTCAAGCTCACTAAGTAGCCCAGGCTGGCCTCGAACTCACACCGACCCTCCTGCCTCAGCCTCCCGAGTGCTGGGATTACAGGTATATGCCACCACCCAGGCTTAGAAACTGTTTTAAAACACAGAACCCTGGGAGGGAAAAATGACAAGAAACAACTATCAGGGCTGTGATCTAATAAAACTCGTCTCCTAATTAGGTGTGACCTACAGTGCTAGGAATTCACCTCCACTTAATTTCTGCACTTATAAAAGGCTAATTTAGACTGTCTTTAACACACCTAACAATCTAATCTTCTATGCCTATGGGTATATTTTTATCTTTTCTCCCCTAATGTCTGGCTGGCATCAATGTCAGGAAATCAATCACCATTCCCAAAGCTGAGGAAAATAAAAACACAAACACACAAAAACACTTTTGCCTAGACAGGCCACACACCTGCCATCCAGAATGGTGCAAATGCTGCTGCCCCTACTGGTTCCACAGTATTCCTCTCCTACATATACTTCCATATTTCTTGCTGGACTTAAAAGGCCATCAGAATCGATTTCTTCTTCTCCCTTAGGGTCACATCTCAGGTAGAGGAAACAGGGGCTTCCTCCTTGGGGGCTTGGGCTGCTCTTCAAGCTCACCAGATCCTGGCTGAGAAGAAAGTTGATAAAAACGTTACAAAGTGTGTTTTTCTGAAGAGTGCTCCAAGCCCACTTCTGTCTCACTTCCACTTGCTCTTCGATCCAAGCACCTTCTCAAACACCCACAGTCCCTTAATGCAGAATCCACAAGGAATGGGGGCGTCATCCGCTGGGGCATTGCCCTCTATTTTCCTTTGATCATGGGCAATCTACTCAATCCTCTGACTCTGAGTTAACTAAATGCATTCATTGGGCCTCCATTGTGTGCACAGAATAGACAAAAGTGCCTGCCAGAGTTAAGTAGACGCGGTTCTCTACCGTTGGTGGGTGTGTGCGTGTGTTTAAGCCCGTTCTGGTAGACAGCAGGGCTTTGCTCATTTTGGGGAGCGTGGTCCTGCTGGATTCCGACTGACAGGAGACCTGGCGGGCTGTCCCGAGGGGCACAGGGAGACGCTGCTGTCTGCGTTTCCAGGTCCCCTCCCGGCCCCACGCCCCGCAGTCTGGCCCACTTCCCTCCCCGGCCCGGTCCTTGAACCCGGCCCTGTCTGCACCTCGCAGCCTCCGCTCCGTTCGTGGTCCCGGCCCGGACCTTGTCCTCTCGCGGCCCCGGCCCCCCTCGCTCCTCCCCAGGAGCCTGGCTGTCAGCGAGCTCAGCACTCCAGTCCCCGCCGGCCCGGCTCACCCTGGGGCAGGCGGCGCCAGAAGCTCCTCCCACTCGAAATTCTGGGCGCCGGGCCCAGTCTGGGTGAGAAGGAGGCTCTGGGTCAGCGCCCCGTTCGCTGCATCCCACGAAGACGCTAGCGTCGGGCGGCGGGTCAATCCCGCGTCCCCAGTCTGGGTCTCCATTCCGCCGCCTCCAGCCCTCGTCAGGACCAAAACCTCGCTTACAGAACTAGGGTTTCGGTGCAGCCACTTAAGCAAGCAGAAATACCCATGCTTACACTGGTAAAGTAGCTTCAAGAAAGGAGTTCAGGGCCTGAGGGCTCACGGATAGAGAGTAGAGCATGCGCACTGACTACGCCACCAAGATGCACAGGCGCAGTTAGCTACGCCCCCGGAACGGGTGCTGTTTGGGACCTTGGCTGTGGAGCAGGCCCCTTCTAGTAGAGGGTCGTTGCTGGGCTCTTGACCAGGGTGGGTCCAATGAAGAGTCTTAGTCGTGTAGGTGTAGTGTGCTCGCTCCGACATCTGCAGGACCACCCCCTGCCTGACCTGGTGATCTCCGGAGTGTCCGGCAGGGTCCGCTGCCCCCGCCCCCTCCCGCGGAGCGTGAGGCGCGTCCAGGGCCTTTGGGGCTGCGAGATCCTGAGACGGGCTGTGGATTCGGGTTATTTTTCGTTCCTTCCTGATCTGACAGTAGAGGGTAGTTGAAATGGAGGGTGGGAAGTTGGGGTTTGAAGGGCGACGCTGGGCTGTGTTGGACCAAGGCAGGTTTGGCATTTCAGCCCGATAATGTGGCGAAGTCTGGTTGGACCAGATTCCTTTCCAGTCACAGGAGCCCTGGTAGCTAGACTTGGGCGCTCTCATTGACAGAAATCTGAAGTTCCTGGAGATCCAGGGTGTTTGAGCGCAGAAATATGAGATTAAGAGTGAGTTTTCTACTTGCTGTGTGAATTCAGAAGATAGATCGCATCTTTTTCACTTTTCTTTGAACATATTTTTAAAAACTTGAAAGTAGATTCAAAGAAAATTAGGTCAGTGTTTTTCAAATCTGGGATGTCACATTTGTGTTTATAGTACTCTTTCCAAAACTATCCGAAACCTGTTGATTTTTTTTTCTCATTACTTTGTATTCTGGGCTCATGATTAGGTGGAAAATAATTTAGTCTTTGTACTTAAGTTTTTATTTGTGTCTGTAAGTTAACATACGTACTTGATGATAATAGAATGTACTGTTGCTGGTATTTATGTGTGGAATCATGCCATAAAAATTGTGACTGTATTTTCTATAGGTAATCACTCATCCAGAGTTTTTTTTTCCGTACCGGGGATCAAACTCTGGACCTTGCCCTTGCAAAGTAGGCTGAGGCACCGCTGAGCTAAATCCTGGGCCCCAGAGTGTATTTTTAACGGATTTACCGGGAGTGAAACAGCACCAAAGATGTAATATGTACAAAATACAAAAAATTTAAAATCTTTAATTGTAAAAGTTCCTGGAGGTCGAATATAGATTCCCTTAAGAGAACCCCTACAGTACCGCCCCCCCCCCAAACACTACCAGAAACTCATAGAAATGACTGGGAAAAAAAGTTCCCTGTTGTTTTGTGCTGGGTAGGGAAAAGTAACCATTTTGAAATATGCCCTGTCAAAACGTAATGGTTTTGATACATCATCCAAAGAATTTCCCCTAAACAGGCCTCCTCTCAAGAGGAGAACTACTAGAGCAGTGGCGGTAAACCTGTGCTACTTGTGCTGCAGTGGGCATGCAGCAGAGCCTTCTCTGTTAGCATCACCCCAGCAGCCAAGCATCAGATAACAGTGTACTTAGTGTCCATGTACATGCTTGGAAAGGACTAACAGTGCTAGGTGGTGACACCCTGACCAGTGTGACTCCTTAGGCATGGCACGTCTCAACTTTCACATGGCTGTTCAGTGTGCAGCTGAGGATAGATGGATGGATATATATAATATATTGGCTTGAACTGGCTGTGAGTTTTAATACTTGTTTTTCTTAATACAAGATTTTAGCTTTCAGTTTTTTAATGAAAAAATTGAAATTTGATATCTGTTCTTTAAAAAGGACACACTCTGAGAGACAGATTCTTTTAATGTGCTGTCCCTCTGTCATATTTGAATCTGCAACATCATATTTAGTTGTTTGTGAAGAATTTATGAAAATAAGAGCAAGGATATATAATATTTGCTTGGAATGGCTGTGACGACTTTTTCAGAGAAGGCCAAAAGCTGCTGGTCAGTGGAACATTGCCCTCCTGCACTGGTGGTCAGTAAATCCAAGAGGAACCCCAAGCTGAGAATCATTGACATAGATTGTTGATTCAGGGAATATCCGATTCTTTAGTATTAACTAGTAGTGTTAGTTATTTTTGGTATAGGAATAGATTTGTATTGGGTACATCATTTAAAAAAAATTTATGTTTTTATAGGCTCCAAGTGTTGAACATGAAAACATGACTACAGCAAAAAAAGCAAAACTCAAAACAGATAGTGGAACATCATTCCAAGAGGCCTGAACAGAGTCATTTGGAGTGGTTGAACACAATGGGAAAGCATTATGTATTCTGTGTAGTGAAAGTGTTGTTTGTCGCACATCAAGTGTCAGATGGCACTTTAACACCAACCACAAAAATATTGCTGAACTTGGTGAAACTGAAAAGAAAGAGTTTCTCAAAGGGAAACTGAGGAAATATCATTCCCAGTATCTTACTTTTTGCAACTGTCTTTCTAAAACAAATCATCTGACAGCTGCCAGCTTTCAAATTTCACTGTGCATAGCAAAACATGGTAAGCCCCTCTCTGATGGGGATTTTGTCAAAATGGCCATGTTGTCTGGGAGTGATTCTCTTTTTCATGATTTCCCAACAAGTATAAAATTATGCAACATATCACTGAGATGCCACTTAGCAGAAATACTGTTAAAGATCGAGTCCTGCACATGGCAAGTGATGTTAGTCAGCAGCTCACCACTGACTTACAGAAGGCAGCCTGTTACTCCATGTGCTTGTATGAAAGCACAGATGTAAATAATCATGCAAGGCTAGGAATAATTTTGCATTATGCACTTGGTGACATCATGAGAGAAGAGCTGGTGAAACTGGTGTCTTTGCCTGGAAGAGCAAAAGGGATAGATATCTACAATGCTGTAATGGAGGCTTTTTTTGTCACAAGACATAAGACCAGAAAAAGTGGTTTCAATTAGTAGTGGCAGGGCACCTTGCATGGTGGAGGCAACATCTGGCTTCATACAGTTCTTTGTTAAAGAGGCAAAACATCCAGTCATTCACTTTCATTGTATTATATATCAAGAAGCTCTTTGTGCCAGGAAAAGCAGCAAAAAATTAGATGATATCCTCAAAGATGTCACAAAAATGTTGAATTACATCATGGCTCGTGCTGGTAATTTTCAACAGTTTCAAGCACTCCTTGATGAGGTTCAGGCACAGGATAATGCTTTGCTTATGTACAATAATGTCCGGTGGCTGAGCAGAGGACAAGTCCTGGAGAGATTTGTAGCCTGCTTGGATGAAATTAGGCTGTTTATGAATGAAAAAGGGCAGGAATATCCACAGCTCACTGATATGGCCTGGCTTAACAACCTCATGTTTTGTACAGATTTTACACTACATTTCAGTGTACTTAACAAAAAAACTACCAAGTGTAGGGAAAACAGCAGAAAGGATGTTTTATGATATCAAAACATTTGAAAGAAAACTGCAGGTTTTTGAAAGAGATCTTGAAAGTGGGCAGCTGAAATATTTTCCAAATCTAAAAATATGTTTAGAAAATTCTACATTTCCAGACAATCCTACAAGCCATCAGGAAGTCTATAAGGAATTTTCTAGCACTGTAGCAGCTGTGAAGGAGAATTTTAGTAACAGATTTTTACAATTCCATAAGATGGAGACAACCCTGAGTTTTCTTACTTCTCCAGATAAAGTCAAATTTGAAGAACTTGATCTTTCCTGCTTAAACTGGTTAGATTTTGGAAATCTGGAAATGGAGCTATTGGAATTTCAAGAAAGCTCTATCTGGAAAAATAAATTCTATGACTTGCATGCTATGCTTGAGAAGATCGAGATGATAGAGTGTGAAGGGATGACAAAGGACAGCGCAGTGGGTAGTGCTGAGAATGAAATCCTTAAAGTGTGGAATTCTCTGCCAAATAATCTTAAGTCAGTGAAAGCACTTGGGATTGCCTTTCTTAGTTTGTTTGGATCATCTTATGCTTGTGAGCAACTGTTTTCAGCTTTGAATTATATCAAATTTGATACAAGAAAACAGACAGATGACGTGAGTGCTGCATGTGTTGCTCTCAGACTAACAAAGTATGAGCCAAGGTTTGACAAGCTATCAGCATGCACACAACAGCAAAGATCACATTAATTGTGCAAAAGCATGCAAAATGCACTTACTTTTCAATAAAAAGCTGTTTGTATCATTGAAAGCTGTTATTGTGTTTTTCTTTTAAGACAAAAGATGTTAATGTGTAAGTTGGTTTTTCTAAACTAAAGCCTCAGTGTTCAGGTTTAATTGTAGTGCTGGGTTTTGGGTTGCAGTCTGAGGACTTAGTCTCTAAAAGGTTTGCCATCATTGTGCTAGAGACTTATCTGATGTTAGACAATTTAAGGACCCTCTAACCTTTCTGTATTTTAACAGGAGGTGGAAAAAGGCTAAGGAATGCCTTTGAAGGTGATAGTCCAGGGACTCATGCTTATTGAACAAACTGAAATTTTGTCATACAATAATAGAATGTTTCCCTTCCCTCATACCTATCTCGACACAAACAGGGCTCTACTGGATTACAACTGAGAGAACTATAAAAACAGATTCCAGTTTAATAAGAGTTTCTAGGGAGAAGACAGTAGGGCAGACCAAAACCAAAATAATAGACGAAATTGACACCTATATCTAAGTAAACATTAAACAAAACCTAACTTCTTGTGAGTTTGACATAAACTTCACACGAACAGCCTGATTACCTCAGTTCATATACATTCATTTATGTACATCAGACCCAGCTTTCAACAGAAAGTTATAAAACATGGTAAAAAGCAAGAAGTGATAAGAAAGAGCATTAGAATCACTTTTAGATATGACACAGATTTTGGAATACTTAAGGAATATAAAATTGTATATTAATTTAAAAAGTAGCATGCAAAAACATATGGGCAAAGAGAGAGGCAGGGAAAGTAAAAAGACTTTAAATGTGTTGTATACATGTAACTACTGTCTATAATGAATGTAATCAATTATGTAT